AGTTCCCATCCACTTCTACATTCCCCACCAATTCTTCCCTCTTTATGAGCAGCAGATCAAGAAGAGCACAGCCCCTAGTTGGCTTTTCCAGCACTTGCACAAGGAAGTTGTCCCTAGCATTCTCCAAAACATTCCTGGATTGCCTGCGCACTGCTGTATTGCGCTCCCAGCAGATGTCAGGGTGATTGAAGTCCCCCATAAGAGTCAGGGCTTGTGATTGGGAAACTTTTGCTAGCTGTCTGAAGAAAGCCTTGTCCACCTCATCCTCCTGGTCTGGTGGCTTATAGCAGACCCCTACCACAACACCATCCTTATTGCTCTCCCTATTGCTCTGACCCTAACCCAGAGACTTTCAACAGGCCCGTCTCCAGTTTCATACTGGAGGTCTGACCAATCATACAGCTCTTTTACATAAACTGCAACTTCTCCTCTTCTCTCCTACCTGTCCTTCCTGAACATTTTGTACCCATCCATGATAGTGCTCCAGTCATGCGAGCTCCCACCAAGTCTGTGTTATTCCAATCATGTCATAATGCTGTGACTGTGCAAGGACTTCCAAGTCTTCCTGCTTGTTTCCCAGGCTCTGTGCATTCCTGTACAGACACCTGAGGTAAATAGTCAATTGCCCCGATTTCTCAGGAAGAATGAGAACACCACCCCTATTGCCCCTTCTTACTTACTCTTCATCCAGGTCACCCACTTCCTCACTTACCTCAGGGCTTTGGTCTCCATCCCCCAGCGAATCTAGTTTATCTCCTCCCAAATAGACATTGAGCCATTGATGACTACTTATTGAGCACAATTTTTTCCACCAACAAGTTATGTATCCACTGTTGTGTAGTCTGTATTTCCTTAGTTTGTTGACAAGAATGTCACAAGACAGGTGATCTTTGAAAGCTGCCGTCTGGCAAAATTAAAAAGCAAAAACAAAGCCCTGAGCAATAATACTTCTCCTTGCTAAAAAAATAATTCAGAGATTATTTGTAGATGCCACTAAATCTCCTGCTGGACAATTTGCACTTTCCCAGTTTAAGAAGGTGAATCAACCTGCACTGTTCAAGGCAATGGAGTTTGGTAGTGTTATGCTTTGATCTCATTTTTTCTTCAGAGGAAGTTTGTTGAGGCTAATTCTAACAATCTGTCCGAAATACAAGGATAAGTATCTTCTGTTGTTCCCAGACATGGGACCTGATCTTACAAAGCATGAAATCGACAGGAATTGAAGATATTCACCATCTTGTATGATTTTATCTTTGTAGATATTTGAAATTCTGCATTATACTTAGTAATCTTCCAAGCCTGTAGAAAGAGTGCCCTCTTTTGGCCTGATAATGTAATGCAAATTAGATGCTTGCTTGCTATATAACACGGTGAATTGATTAGCAAGTACTGCATCTTTTACCATATTGCAGACTTTAAAAAGTTATACTCTTATGCCAATACTTCTATTAATGTTTTTAGCACTGAACTATGATTTAAGCAACCCCTTTTCATAAAAAATGATAGGCTGCTTTTACTAAATAATAAATTGGTAGGCTAAAAAGTAATTTCAGGCATTAATAAACCAAGATACTAGGCATTACTCACTGATAATAGACATTGATTGTCAAAGCTGCATTATACCAAGGGCACTTGTTAAGCATTATGACATGAAGAAAAATTATTGCTGTTATTACCAACATCAAGCCCTCATGTTTAAAGCTGATTTACTTTATATATAATTATTTTTTAATGATGCATCTTTTGCAAAACAAAGCACAATAATACCGTAAAGCTGCATTATTGGTTACATGCTGATAGTATTAAGAGAGATTTAGCAACAACTTTGAGCCAATTATTTTCAGTTTCCCATTTATATAGTAAACTTAACCCTTTTCTGTTTTTTAATTAATTAAGTGGGGTGTGGTGAAAGGGACCTTACGGTGGGTGTCTACTACAGACCACCCAACCAGGGGGAAGAACTGGATCAGGACTTCTCCAGTCGGCTTATGGAGGTGGTTAGGTCAAGGGATGTTATTGTCATGGGCGACCTAAACTACCCAGACATTTGCTGGGAGGAGCAGACAGCCAGGTCTGACCGCTCGCGTAGGTTCCTGGCTGTAATACAGGACCTTCACCTTATCCAGGAAGTGCACAGCCCCACTAGGGGTAACGCCTTGCTGGACCTGGTCTTGACCATGGGGGATGACTTGGTGAGGGGACTGCAGGTCCTTTACCACCTGGGCAACAGCGATCATCACCTGCTGGATTTCACTATCCAATGCAGGGCATCAAGGGTTTACACCAAGGCTAAAGCCCTTGACTTCAGAAGGGCCAACTTCAATGAGCTTAGGAGACTAGTGGGGGAGGCACTGAGGGCCCAGAAGATAGAAGAGATGGGAGTCCACGAGGGATGGTCGTACCTTAAGGGGGCGATCCTCCAGGCCCAAAGGATAACAGTCCCTGAGAGAAGCAAATGGGATAAGAGTGCTCAGAAACCCCCTTGGCTCAGCAAGGGCATTCAGGAATGCCTGAGAACTAAAAGGGAGGTGTACAACCAGTGGAAGGGAGGAGCTATCACCAAGGAGGAGTACTCCTCCTCAGCCCGGGAGTGTAGGAGGGCTACTAGGAAGGCCAAGGTAGAGATGGAACTCAGGCTGGCGTCCAGGATTAAGGACAACAAAAAGTCCTTTTTCAAGTA